TTGTTAGCGAACCCGCCGACTGCAAATATTGATGATTTCGAATAAAAATAACATTATATTTTTGGCCAATTAGCGCACAATTTCAGAAAAAAATACATTGTTTTCTTTATTTTTATTACCATAGCGCGGAGTATCGAATTCAATGTGTGTAAAAACAAAAGTTAAAGCGATTCTAGATCCGTTTCTGATTTGCTACTTGGTGGTCGCTATTAACATCCGGGCTCAGTAGTACGGAGCGTTTTCTGATTTGCAGTTCCGTCAACAAAAGAAATTTTTAACAAAAATAAACTAAAGTCTATAAACAAATCATTGCCCGTTGATTTCGATGAGCTCATCCGCCGTTTGTTCAGCTGTGATTCAGTGCTGCTGCACCCCTCAGCAGGTGTTGTCGGCGGGGGAGGGGAGCTCTTGGCCTCCCTCCACCTTTCCTGGTCCTCACACTTCGCCACCCCTGACATCATCAACTCTTTCGATCCTTAATACATTATTAATAGGTCCATGCTTGGAATACTGACTTTTTTTTATTAATTTGCTAAAATATTTAAATTCTTAATTTTACTTTGTTTTTTTCTGCTTCGTAAAGCTTTGTACTGTATTTAAACTTTTCAATAATATTAAACAGTCAGTACGACTGTACATTATTCTGCATACAATACTGTAACACAAAAATAATACTGTAAGTACCAACCAACACAAAAATAATACTAACCTATTTTAAAAGTGGTCGATCCACAGTTGAAAAGTGCGCGCTCGTCCATTTTATCAACATGGTAGGCCACTCCTGGAAGTAGAGTGCAGATGGAGTATGTGATGTAAATACATGGTACTGTATATCAATGCATTATTTGTGTATATTTACTAGTTTAGTTATTTTTATGGCTTAGCCTCTAGGTAGTGGCAGTATCCTCTAGGCCTACATACAGGTAGATAGGCACTGCAACAGCAAGCTAGGCATAGGTTTTAGGGGCTACCCGCGGCCTAGCCTAGGCTAGAGCTAGGCTGTTACCTGGTGTAGTTGCCAGTATCATAAGATACCTATTTCCTAGCTAGGAGGCCTAGCTAGTAGTAGTAGGCCTTAGTAGAGTACTGTAGGCCTATAGGCTAGAAGGTAGGACTACACAGGCTGCCCAGACTGTAGTAAAATAACTTCAACTTTCTTTTTTCTCAAAATGTCCAAATCAAAGAGCTCAATCACCAAGCGCATAGAGGTTTTTTCGCATGATGCGCTCTACAAATCCAACTATTATTATTATTATTATTAAGAAGTAAGGCCTGTGTGAGGAATATTCTCCATGCATGCAAATACGTCTGCGCATATCAGAAGAAGGAATAATAAGGGCGGTTTTCCACGCAGATTTTGCCAAAAAGTAGGCTTTGACCTAGGCCTAATCTTAATATATTATAACCAATGTGTAGCGCAGTGGTTACGATTCTCCGCACCTGTTTTCCTAGCGAGCAATTTTCTGTGCACGTTTGAGCTAGGCCTAATTTTTTCGGTATCATCCGTGCAATTAAAAAAATCCCAGTATAAAGAACAAATGAATAAAAAGTATTACGATTCTGCGCACATATTTCTTGTTGATTTTCCACGCAAAATTTGATTTTGATGTATCACGGAGCAATAGGAATAAAACATGACCTAAATACAAGACCACTTTTGGAAAAAGATTTACTAAACAAGTGTAAAACAACAAGTTCACCGTTAATTGTCGTCAATGAGTATTCAAAATTAATATAGAGGTTGATTTTAACATAATTATCTTCCTTGAACTGCTATTACACTGCAAGCAAAACTCTAGGTATAACCCTGGAGTTTCTAATACCTGGGCTAGAAACTCCTGAGTTGTGGTTGTATTGGTGTAAACGTCAAAACTTATGACTTCGGTTGCCAAAAACCTTTTCTTTCGATGTTAATGGGAAATGCACACAAGATCACTCCGGAATTCACGCTGGTTTATTCTGACCTTATGAGTGTAAAAATTTATTGTAAAAAATGGCCGGACAATATTTACAATTAATCCGTGATATTTTTTGGTACACTAGGCCTATAGTCCATCCAGTAGAAGAAGCCCCATGGCTCGCATGTTTTGGATGTTTTTAGTAATTTTTTTATTTAAGGAGGATATCTTTTATAATGCTACCATATTTGAACACCAATTTTGAATGACACAGTTAAAGGCATAATTAACTAACATTCATTCATCTGAATTTATCTATAGGCCTATGATTTTTTTTGTCTTAGACAATAGTCACATTAAAATAAACCAATTATTGACCGAATGAAACAGACATTTATTTCATAAATATTAATTTCTTTCATGAATGTATTTTGAATTTGATTCTGTGTTTGGTTTCTAAGTGACTGAATCATTAATATAGTTAAGTTGTTTAACAACTGGAACCAAAATTATCATTATTGTAGTTAAGTTTCTTACCGTCTGGAACCAAAACATCTTTTATCTTTAAGAATTTAATATTTATGTCCTTTGAATTTCATTCTGTGTTCAGTTTCAAAACTAAATCATTAATGTTGTTTAAGTTGCAACTGGAGCCAAATTTCGTATGTATCTCATATCAACAATATCTTGTCTAAAAATAACTAGAACTGAAATGTAACGACTTAAAAAATTGCATGTCCCAATATAGGTAGGTTTATCTGATGAGGCCAATAAATTCTACAAAGCTTTTTAATACTTGTATTTTGAACAAATAAAAATAATTTTTTTTTTCTTTGGTAAATTGGTTTTGCCAAAAGCATGCAGGTGGAGGAGAAAATAAAAATAAAACTCCAAGTGTCCGTAGTAATGGGATTGATAAAATAATGCTTTAACTTGGTAAAATGTAGGAAGAATATACATCTTATTTTTAGAGATTTCAAAGCAGCTGAAATTTACATTTTTTTTTTTATTCTGATAGGTGTGCTAACTGGCCAAAAATAACATTTTTTTTTTAAATCATCATTATCAGCAGTGGAGAGTTCACAACTATACTTTCAGCATAAGAAAAATAAGCAATTAACTTACTAAAAGAAACTACAGGACTTTACAAGCGTGTAACTGTAATTTTAAAATAAAAAAGGGTCATATTTATGGTACATATGTTCCTGTAGCTTTATTAAAGCACTACTGAGCAAAATGTTAAAAATTCAAAGTTACACACTTTATTGTGAAAATGACCATATTAGAACAATGATGACCGCTGTTTCATTGTTTATGTGTTTGGCCTCACTATGCTTTGATATCATTAACTTCATATTGGTGATTTGTGATGATGCTATGAAAAATTTGGTCAAAGATATTTAATGATATAATGCTTATTGTAATTGGCTAATACGATGATAAAATAAGCCTTACAATAATAATACTTATAGCTTCTTAATTATATGATCAGATACAAGTGGGATAATGTTACCTTTACAAAGTGATGATTATTGGGACTTACTTGACCCTACATTTATGAACCTTCAGTTTTAATACAGTACAACTATACTTTCCTAGCATTCTGGAAAATGCTATGGCATGACAGTGTTGTTCTTATTTTGATGTTTTTCTTTTGCATCAGGAAATTCCATAGTAGGAGTGATATTTTGCCCTACCAGATGTAAAATCGTACTGAATACTCGTAATCGTACTTGCCAAAAAAAAGACTAAATGATTTGGGAATCGTATGCACGACTAGCGTGGTGTAATAACCACTAGACCACCTAGCTTGTGCTTGTTAACGGTACTATTGTTTTCTTGTAAACATGAGTTTTTACATTTTTATATCAGGTAGTTATGGCTGTAGTTAAAAGATCATCAGATGCTAACAACGGTGTTCCCCAACCGAGAAAAAGGCGGAAGACAGGGGATGGAGAAGGCGATCCTGAGCTGCATCCTGACTTCGATGAGGAGGTGGGCTAAGTGCACTTTATTTTGTCCTTAATAACAGATATTGTTTCTGTTGAGCAAATATACTTCAGGGGCGGATTGCTCTAAAACTATTATACTAATGTATAGCCAACTATATCACAGACTTTTACGATATTCACCCCTGTAATGGTATTGCCATACAGTCTTAACTAAGACAATGTTGAGTCTTGAAAACGAGCAATCACTTTATAGCACCAGTGTGTTTTATTTGCTGATGCATTCTGTTGTGTGTTTTTGAAATTTCAGGTTAAAACATTAATTTTGTCATTCACATGGAAAAAGATAATTTGGAATGAAGGATCAATTATTATTATTAATTTTAAACATGTGGTTCACAGGGTTCTCTCCACACTGGTCGGCGCTGGTTGGCCCTTTCCGGCACTCAACAATTCCAACCGTTGCTGACAGGCTGCCGACCGGCACTGTATTTTCTATGATTTTTAAGCTTTAGAAACATAAAGAAACATGAAATACATTCCTAAAACCAAGGACTTTTAACTGTAAAAGCCTTTTAAACATGAATGCACTTCATTGAGAAAATAACAATAGAAATACACATTCCCATGCTTACGTTAATTGTTAATTAATAGTCTTGCACTGGATAGGGCAAAAACATGCATATTCGTGCAGAACGAGTGTGCATGTCTGGAGAGTGATGAATCACCCAAAGCAAAATCACCGGGCTGGCGGCTGTAGTTTGAGCGCATGCGAGACGAAACAAGGCAAGACATGTTCAACTGATTGAAATCTTAACTAACAATAAATAACAGAAGTTGATGATCACGATCAATGTCTATTAAATGTACATTTAAAAATACTTATTACACAAGAAAGCAACGCTTTGGAACATATATAGGCAAACAACTCCATTCACTGAAACCATCACACTTGTTTTTTCAGCTTCCTCTGTACAAAACAAGCTAGTAGGCTATTTTCAGCATTTGACATTCTTTCCTGATATACGATAACATTCTTGAATTGGCGGCGTACAAAGACTTACTGTAGCGACTGAACTTGTCATTCATCTCCTAATGCCCCTTTCCCACATTCACGACAGAGCACGATTTTTCAATTTTGAAAAATCGCAATGGCGTTGTAAATTTCGTGCTCAAAAATAATCATCGTATTACATCGTACTGGATCTTGATGTCATCGTGATGGAGCACGATTTTTTTGGAATGTTAAAAAAATCGTGCTCAATTGTAGTCACGAAAAAGATCTTGGTCTACCGCAGCGGCATCGTGTGAGTGGCATAACGTTGTCGTCGTGACTGTATCTTGTCCATTCGTACTACCAACAACACCTACGACAAGCTGATACGTCGCTGCGGTGTTGAGACGATTAGATACGATGCCACCAGGATACCATCAAGACCGTGGTTTATACCACGTGGCTCTGTGTCAGAAAAGTTTTTCAACACACTGAACAATTCCTTGCTCACTTGGAGGAAGTTTTTGAAGCCTTTTGGGTCTTTGGCTCTATTTAACTCTACTATTAAGTGTTCATACTGTCAAAAGTATGGAAGATATAAGAGCCATGGCTGTGCCCATACACTTCATTTAGGCCTATGCATTCGATGTGACCGACGCTTACTCATTATTAAAACTGTAGCAGCCAACAAATTTTCTTCTTCTATAGCAGCAGCTTGCAAATATTGATGGTGTTCGAACATTGCGCTTTTTTGTCATGTCATGTCATGTTTGTTTTTGTGATGTGCCGCTTGTTAAATCGTGCTAACGTCGTGCTTGCGTTTTTGTAAAATCGTAGTGACGTCAAATTAAAATTTTGGTAATTCGTAGTACGTCGTCACAAATCGTAACTCTATCGTTATAATTCGTAAAAATGTTGTCGCACTATCACATTAGTGCCGTAATACATCTTGACGCCGTCCTAGTAGCGCCTTGATGAAACGTAAAACTTGAACTTTTTGAGTACGAATCACTACGACAGAGCGCCATTTTAAAACGTTTTAAAATCGTGCTCCATCTTAGCAAAAATCATGAATGTGGGAAAGGGGCATAAGAGTATCATGGGAACCTACTTGTGGGCACATTTCTCACTGAATTCACTGTTAATAAGCAACTTTGTACTGGCAACTTGGTGTTATGCCTATTTTAAGCAAATTATTGCCATTCAGGACAATGAATAAAAAGCATAAACACAAACTGAGTGAATTGATATTATATTTTAATAATGATAAAAAATATTTTAATTTGGTTGTGGAATTTTAAAGAATAGTGCAAAATTTAAATAACAATTATTCTAATTGGTTAATTAAAAAATCTCAATACAAGTTGTAAAAATGTATTACTAATGTGTGATCTTGGTTTGGCTTAAAACGACACAACAAATTGCTTCTGTGTAGGTAAACTGCAGCACTTGGTGAACACATTTATTAGATATAAAGCTTAGGCATGCACAAGTAGCTGGCCCGCCGCTCTGCACGCATTCAGTAGGATTATAATACAGTGAAATCTCCGAATTCCGAATGCCCAGAAAACCAAATTTCACGCTAAACACAATTTTTTTTCAAGTCCCAAAACCATTCCTATTCTTCCTTTAACAAAATACTTTCAAAAAACTGGATCTCCATATCCATATTATCTGACCTGGGGGTATTATTTTTGAGGTATGTGTTTTTTTTCTTTTAGGGTCTTTCAGTTGGAATTATTGAGAGGATAGTCCTCAAGAATTTCATGTGCCATGGACATTTGGATTTCTCTTTTGGACCAAATGTCAACTTTGTTGTAGGCAGTAATGGGAGTAAGTATGACTGGTAACTAGCCTTTGTCACTTTATCTAAAAGGTGACAATTGCAAAAAAAAACATCACAAAAAGTTGTACTATTTTATCATCAGAAGTAGAGATGCATCTCCTTACCAAAGATACTATCATGTGGTTTGCTTTTATTAATTGCGTATTAATGCAAAAAATAAAAAAAAATTAATTTAAAAAAAAAGCATATCCTACTAGCCTGTAGCCAGGATTTTGAAAGGGAGGTTCTTTTTGATACCGAAAGGGCACTTGCGAGCGAAGTGAGCCCCATTGGCTGGGGGCCGCCAAGGGGCCCCCGGTGGGGTCCATGAGCGAAGCTGCCCTGCCCTCTCCCTATTTTAGGTGGGTAGGCCTACACGGTCATACTGGTTAAATAATAATGTTGTAACAGTTGAAAATGCACAATTTTTATACATTTTGGTTCAACCTTTAGGATACCCTTCATGGGTATGTATGTATGTATGTATGTATGTGAGATGTATGTTACGCTGTTTTTTGTAAACAGGCAAAAGTGACTTTCAGATATCTGTTCGTTATGAACGTCCGTACCCATGCAAAACTGGATATCACTTCGTGCCCTTTTTAATGATTTTCTATTGACAAATGTTAAAGCCATAACTAATGAAAGACAATACCCCCTACCCTACCTTGAAAAGACTAGTAAACTGTATGATAAGAGGAAAACATTTATGGAATGTTGTTTACATTCATTGTCCAACTACTGTAACTGTCTTAAATGTGATGGATTGGACCAGGAAGCTCCAGCATTCTAGACATTTACAGGTGGTGTTTAATTTATTTGAGAGGCCATACAAAAAAATGTATATATTAAAGAGGTAATGTTATTGAGTTATTAGCAAAGATAAAAAACAAAAACAAAAAAACCTACTACTTTAGTACTACAGTTCTGGTAATTTAACAAGAGCCTACAGTAGCATGATACAAACTTCTTTCTTATTTCTTAACAAAAATAAAAAGTACTGTGTGGCTTATAGCACTTTGGAAGTTGTATCGTATCGGGACGATCGGCGATACGCTCTCCTGCTGCTGCCCTGCCCTGTCCCTATTTTGGGCGGGTAGACCTACATGGTCGTACTGATTAAATAATAATGTAACATTTGAAAATGCACAATTTTTATTTACTTTTTGATGTTACTAGGTAGGCCTAACAATTGGGTATTAAAGTAGGACTTTTTTTTAATGATGATAGGCTCTAGGCTAGGCCTAAGGTGTAGGCTAGCTAGCCTTTGTTGAAATGGCACTTCGTGAAAAGGGGGGTTCGTTCGAACCCAATGAACCCCCACTGGCTACGGGCTTGTCCTAACTGGAGAATCCAAGTGTGTATACCGCTTGGCCTCAGGAGTCGGAAGGTCTTAGACTAGAATTCTCATGGGGATATGGTTATGGTTTGCTGACTTATGGACACCAAGGTTAAATATATACATCACAAGTGCTATATATTCCTTGGCAACAATGGTTGTATACATTCGTATATATTGTAATAATTATTATAAAAAGTGTATCAGGATTGTTCTTGAAAGTTATGAAGCATATTTTTTTTGGTTTTAGGTGGTAAGAGTGCTGTTCTTACTGCATTAGTTGTTGGGTTAGGGGGTAAGGCAACCATAACAGGAAGGGGAACCTCTATGAAGAACTTTGTAAAAAATCAGAAAAGGTAAACTTTAAAATTAAATTGTTTAGTTTGTTAATTTGAGTGTTGTAGCTATGTTTTTGGTATTAAAATAAAAAACATTAGAACATTAAATTGATTAATTGCTTTAAAATTCATACTGTACTAAGTGAAACAGTATTAAAATATTAAAAAGGATAACTGATTATTAATTATGGTATAATTATTAAAATTATAATCAAGTCATTTATTAGGTTTTAATATTATTAGTAATTTTGTAAATGAGTTTTTATTTCTTTGAAAATTTTAGTTACGCAGAAATTATGATAAGACTGAGTAATAAGGGTACAGACGGGTATAAGAGAGATTTATACGGTGACTCGCTGACGGTGGTCCGTCGCATCAATCAGGACGGCCAAACGTCTTACAAACTGAAGAGTGATAAAGGAGTTGTGATCTCTACAAAAAAGGAAGAGTTGACTCATATACTCGACCAGTTTAACATCCAAGTCGACAATCCAGTGTCCATCCTGAATCAAGACACAAGCCGTAACTTTCTTCAGTCAAAGCTTCCAACTGATAAATACAAGGTATGAATGATAAGGGGCAGGAAAAGAGCATTACAAAAACGAGACAAAAGGAAAAGGAGGGAGCACAGCACTCCAAAACAAGCTATTTTTTTATTTAAATTCCATGTACCAGTGTGTACAGTCAAGCATTGCTAACCAAAAATCTAAAAATATCAATCTCCTGGCTCTGCTTTGAATGTTGCATGACCCTACCAAAATTTTTCTCTGGGTCTAGTCCTGTGATTATGCTATTTGTGCTACAGTATTATGTGGTATAAAATGACTGGTGACAAAATTGTTATCCTACAAATCCTTCATGAAGAATATTTTTCTAATAATCTTTTGTAAAATACATTTGCAGCAAAAGTTTGTCAAGACAAGTTTGGTACTGGTAGCCAAAGCAGTTTTGAAAAAGTCTTAAAACCAGTGATTTTTTTTTAGAATGTGCATCATTAGAAGTTAATAAATTATTTATTTAGTTAATCGTTTTATATGAGGTATTTTCAAAATCCTTTTAAAATTATAGGTGTTTTTATGTATTTATATTTTTAGGCGCAAGGGCCAGGGATATGCCAATACAGTAGTGTGAAATTAATTACTTTTTACTGATATATTGTATATTTTTTCTAAAATTTTTATTTTTATATATATATTTTTTTTTTAGTTCTTTTTGAAAGCAACTCAACTTCAGCAGATGACAAATGATTACAGCACTATACAAGAGCAGAAAGACATAATGGAAGAAACATTACTGAGAAAGGAGGAAGTAAGTAAATTATAATCATTGGACTCTACCGAAACAAATTTGGCACAAGAAATAATATCAAAATAGAAATCCAGTACAGTGTGTATTATTGGCCTTGACACTAGCAGACCTTAGTGAAACAAACATTGTCATCTATGCAATTAGATTTACTTTTAATAATGTCAACCCAAGGACCTTTAACTGTAACCAGGGGCCGATTCGGACGAGTAAAATTTAACTGGGTACCACCAGCTGAGCGGTCGCGTGCGGCAATTAAATAATGCCCCTGGGTATAGAAAATTCGAAAAAACATCTGGCCCAAAAACCCACCTTTTTTACTGGATATTTCAATTACACCTTGCCTCAAGGCGTAATTAATCACCCGTAACAAGGCCCAGGTCACAAGTTGACCCTTCAGATTTGTAAACAATGACGTGGCGTAGTGAGTGGCTTTAACAACGCCACTGCCTAGTTCACACACAAAGGCGTAAGCTACGCCAGGCTTAAGCCAGCCTTACGCCGTGAGTATAAAGAACCCAGTACATCCTTCGAGACGAGTAGGGGGTTACCCCGGTGTACTGGAACAGACAGCCCCTGTGGTGGACGACGAGAGTTGCTGGTACCGTGTTACCGGGTAGCACAGACACGAAGGGACCCTTAGAAAGGGAATTGGTCGAGTTCCTAGTCCACATTTCAAGCGCCCTGAGCATCTTACATTAGATGGATATGTGCGCTATATAAAACTACACTATTATTATTATTATTATTATTAATTTTTTACTGGCTTTAGGCTGGAATAAGAAGTTAGTTGACTTAAATTTACTCGACGGGCTTAGTCGAGTTGTGGCCTTGAGCGGTCATACTCAAACTTATGGCGAGATCTTCTAGCTTATCCACTAAAATTATCTCGCCATAGTTGGATATGAACGGGGCTATAATGATCAGAGATAACAAGTGTGATCAAGCTATTTACAATACAACTAATAAATAGAGCTAGGGAGATAAACTATCTGTGCGGTCATGGTGCTAATATGAACAATGGAGTCAGTAACAAACTAAATCTTATAGTGGCTGAGAAAGCCTAGATCTATATTCTATATTGAGGCCACTATTAATACTATCAAATTTATGAATAAATGTTTGTTCAGCAATTAATCTCTCAATTGCTTAACCCATTGACCTCTTTTTTGAAATGATTTTGAATTTTTTTTCAGTGTCAGAAATATGGTTAAATATAATTTTTTCTGAGGGAATAATACAATAATGATTGATACCAATTGAAAGATAATAAAAAAAATGCTTCTAAATAACTTATTATTTAGTATTGTGATATTAAGAAAAAATTTTAAAAAATAAATTATTTCGAATTATTGTTTTATTTTATAAATATTTTTTGATGAATAATTTTCAAGATAAATTATTGAATCCTGAGTCAGTACTCAGAATACAAACACATTTCCACATCAGCACAAATTATTCCTTTACAAAATAAATCTAAATTTGAATTGATTGACGAAGAACTTTGGAAGATAAAAATAATATAAAATTTTACATCCTAGGGGGCCTAGGCGGAATCCCCTAGGTGCCTCGCGGCGTTCAGTCACCCATTTTCCACTACGCACTGTATCGTGAATAGCCTAACCTACCTCGCGAGGTAAAATCCATAATTCATAATTTTCTGCCTAGCCATCCAAGGTCGTGCGAAAATTGGGTATTGTGTATTTCAAAAATCCAGATAATTTTTTTTTTTAATTTGAAAAAACACGAAAAATTACGATGAATATAGGACGATTTGGTATCAAAATTTTCCTTATTTTGTCATCTGTCTCAACGTGTAGAGGGCGCAGGTCACCGAAAAACAGGAAGTTGAAAAGTTCAACGGTCATGTTAAGGGTTCGTTTTCATTTTTGTAAACACACAAGATGACGTCAAGCGTAATTGATAGCACATGCTTTGCTTTCAGCCACAAAAAAAAATTAATTTACCCGGAAATATGTCGATATAATAACCAAATCTAGTACAGTATGTATTTTGAAAATATATTTATAATATGCAAGTGTCAGAAGAGTTATTTTCTGAAAATAAAGTGTGTTTTTAGGTGATTTTATTCACCACCAGTATTGACGCCGACGCCTCGATCAAAGCGATCATGTTACAAAAACAACTATCAAATTACAAATTGCTAATTACCCTAAACTTAGAAATTAATTATAAATGGAAAAAGAAATATTTTCTATAAACGTTTTTTGATATTTTCTCACATATTTTATTAACTTACATGCGCACTAAACCGCCATACGATTTTTAAATAATTATTGTTAATTAATTGCATAATTAATTACGATCGTCCCTGGTGACCTCAGCCCAAATTAATGCAGGCCTAGGGGTTAATCAGTTAAGAGCACAGCTACTTTAAAGTGTGTAATATTGTGTCCTCGTAAATTAAAATGAACTGCAATAGGCCTATCTTTTTTGTTGTGACGAATGCTGCCTTTTTTTAATCTGTGTATATTGTTTAGACTAACACGGCTTCATTACAACTTTTAACATTATAGAAGAAATAGCATTTTCAATCATACTATCACTATTACTTAAATTTATGTATTTTTCTTTTTTCAATTGATCATTCATTTTGATATATTGTATAGTTAAAAAATTTTTTATTTATTTTTTAACGCGAAAGCAAAAAAATACTCTGATGTAATCTTTCATAAGTTTTTTTGTCCAAATTGTTCTTAAAGCTTTACAATGCAGGTTAAATTCCACCACGTTCAGTAGATCCAATCATTTTTTGCCTTTTTAATTTTTTTATTCTTTCCATTCCAAATGAACTTATAAATCAATGTATTGACCTTAGAGATTACATAATTTGGAATTTCAATATTTAAAGCATTATAAATAAGTTTTGAGAGTGCCAGACTCTTTAAAATTGTAACTTTCCCAATTAATGACAAATTTCTACATTTCAAGGCTTCTGAAGTTTTTTCCAAACTTAACAATTTAGGGTTCCAGTTCATTTTAATACATTTGTTGCTATCATACCCAATTTAAATGCCTAAAATTTTAATTGGTTCACTGACCCAACATAAATCAAGTTGTTATTCTTTATGATTTTCCACTTGCCAATCCATAATGCCTTTGTTTTTTCCTTAGTCCTGCTACTGTACAAAAACAATAAACAATCTCAGTTGACCTTTTAAGGCTATGTTCATTACCAATAAATAAAATTGTGTCATCTGCAAGCTGTGCAATATGTGCTTCATCATAACATTTATCGTTAGGCAATGATATACCTTCAATTGTTGGTCTTCTCTAATGTTGTTAGCCATCATTTCTACCACCTAAATAAAAAGCAAAGCATATAAAGGGCAGCCCTGGCATAGCCCATGTTACATTTTAAAACTTTCAGATATCCAACCATTGTTTACTGTAATGCATTCTGTATTGGTATATATTATGTTTGTCTATCTACAAAAGGACTCGCCAAAGTTAAGAGATTTGATAGTTTCATACATAAAATTTCTATTCACTGTATCAAAAGCCATCTTGAAATCTAGTGACAAGAAGGCACCCTCAATTCCATTATCAAATGTGAATTGTAATAAATCGTTCACAAGGGGCCCGTTTATATTACACTCTGAACACGGATTGACGAACACGGCTTCTCTGATGTGTGTAGTATAAACGGTCTGGATTACGTGTGATTACAATACCATCTGGACAAAAGGCTACTTGGCGAACTCGCCAAACTTGCCGTGTTGGAAGTACCAACTTGTAGCTTCCAGGCATAAGTTTGACCTCTCTTGAAACAGTGGGTGGTAATTCAATAGCTTTCTTGCTGTTGACAGGCGCTAACAAGATGGGATGGGCTTTTATAATAGGCCTACAACTAGAATGATATAAGAAAATAATTATTGTTAATAAGGCCGTTATTAAGCAATAATTTTATATCTTAATTTACTACTGAGAAGGCATAGTATATACCTTTCACGAAAAGAGTCTTTTCCGAGGCTTTCTTATCCGCCGAAATCATCATACGCGCCGGAGTGCTGCCAGTCTACCTCCAGTATACCCTATACTAGGCCTACCTTCACTTCTTCATTTGATTCTCACCAACAGGGCCACTTCAGTGCTTTTGTTTTATAAACACTAATCTTTTAATTAATCCTTAGAAAAAAAAATAATGCATCTTTTTAGCGCCAACAATCTTCTGATCTGCCCCATTAGCCGCCTATTTATCGTGAGACACAGGGTGCTAACTACTATAGTTTATTTACCTCCCATGGATTTTTTTTCTATCCAATACAATGTTTTGCCCTGTTCCAACTCATTTCTTCTTGTTACTTGGCTTGGTTCGGACGAAATTATTAATCATGAGCTGGAGCGACGACGCTACATTCGTCCTTATTATTATTTGGGGACAAGAAAACATTCAAAAGGGATTTGATGGGACGAGGAGAAATGCCTCCATATACGCCGAGATACAGAGCAAGTTGAAAGACATGGGATGGTAAAAATTATAAAAATTTAAAAAATATCTTTTGAGCGTATCTCGTTTGAGCGTATTTCCAATTTCGTTCCAAAAACATTTATGAAAGTCTGCACTAATGCCATCATATCTGGGGGAAATATCAGATTTCATGCCCTTGATGACATTACAGTAGTACACTCTTTCATTGTGATTTTACCTTCACACATACATTTTTCATTCTCATTTTTTTTTTTTTTTTTTTTGTATTACTGAGGTATGTAATAATATCTATTTTGGAACACTACATTTGTGTAAAGCTGACTGTAGAATTTAACTTGCTCATTTAAAATTTCTATTGGATCTGTAATTATCTTTCCTTCAAATGTTTTAAGACTTCTCATTTTTTTTTTTTTTTTTAACTATTTGATTTTTCTAAATTGAGGAAGTATTTATTATTGTGTTCTTCTTCTTCAACCCACTTTGCTCGCGACCAGATTTGGAATCTGGTAGTTTCTGGAATTTTGGAAGTTTACAATTGTATAACTTTTACCACTTATTTTTATTTTAAGTATAATATATCTGCCTTCTTTTTCAATGAGTTTGTCAATTATAATTGATACATCTTTACTAGCAGATGTTTCAATACTATGAAATGCTAAAGCCATTCCAAGTGGTATTGAATTTATTAATATCATCAGTAGGGTAAGTTTCCTGTAGTAATACGACTGTATATCAACGTTTTGGTCTAAACACCATCTGAAAATTTCCTTTGCTTTCCATTATTTTGTAAGCCTCAAACATTGAGTGAGATACAGTGACAAGTTGTGCAATTCATGTTAAAGTTTTACAGAGCATGTTGTATTTTTTGGTACATTCCCTTGAATGTGATAATTTTATAATTTGGAGAGGTCACCCAACTGCATCTGGATTTTATCAAAATAGACATTCAAAAATCACTGTACTATTGATGCTAGATTATTCTGAGTGTTGGATGGAGGGAGCATAATAAAGTTTTTGTGTATTGCTTTAATATTTAACCAATTAATTTTTTCAAGCAATATGTTACAATTTATGACTGACACTATGTATGCATAAGTTAATAACAGGTTCTTGGAAATTCAAGTTTGCTTGGTTACAAACTTTTGACGAATTTGATGACATCAGTGTCAGAGCCGCACAGAGTTCCTGTTACCTTATAGCAAAGGAACCAATAATGCTCATTCAGTGGTCAGTGACTGTCAACATCCTGACCTCTTCCTAGTTTTGTATTTTAAGGAGGAAATTCCTCATGAGAAACATTTATAAGGATAATCCAAGCATAATAATAGAATAGCTTGCTACATTTGTTTTTAAAACAGAACATAGGGCTTATCCTCCTTGAAATAATGAGAACTGATATTGAAACTTAAAAATAAAAACCAAATAATACATAAGTATATTATAAAGTTAAAAAAATGAAAAATTACTCAGCACTTCCGAGAATTGAACCAGTGTGCATTATTTTTGGTTAGTGCGGCGCTTTGAGTTCTAACTGTATAGAAATCGACACTGGCGCGGTCTGTGCATTTTTAGTTTGTCAACCTTGCGTAATTCCACATGTGTAGGGTGAAAATTGTTCATAGTTACTTTGAAATGCTTATGAAAATCTTATGAAAACGCAATTTGCGTTAACTTAAAAATTTTATTACCTGTTTATCAATATTCAAAATATGTAGAATGGCATCATATTATATTTGCACATCTTTGATGTATGGTCTTTGCTTGGACAAAGTTTAAAGAAGATCCAAGCACAGAAAGTGCTGGACAGAAAAACCCTGAGCAAAGATAGGAAAGTGAGATAGAAGAAAAACATTTTTCATAATCTCGAAAGCTCCGAGAGGGCAGTAGAGCATATTGGCCCTAACGGCCGCCCATAAAAAAATGTGATTCTAGATTTTATTAAGGTGTGTTAAAACTGCATCCTCAACACTTTTATTTGCCTGATAAGCAAATTGATATTGATTGATCTTAAAAATTTTGTGATTGATTGACAAAATCTCTAAGAATAATTTTTTCAAACATTTGACAACATTTGATGTGAGTGCAATAGGCCTATAGTCTTTTAATTCATTCGGTTTTTTAACTTTAGGGAGGGGTGTAATAAAAGACGTCTTCCAGATTGTTGGCACTACCCCATTTCATATACTTAGATTAAAAAGCCTAGTAAATACAGGTACTAATTCTTTTGTACAGTATTTAAGGACACGATTTGAAATACCATCTGGTGCTTTTAGTTACCTTAACTTTTGAAAAAACATGCCTTACTGCATCGTCTGAAATAGTGTAATCTTGAATATCACAAATTAAAGAAGGCAAAGGTGTGTTTATTAGATTATTATTTTTAACTTTATCCTCAAAGGGACGGAAAAAGTAATTTAAGTTATTGGCAAGATTTGGATCATTGGTGTTTGGGGTGGTCTTATTTGTATGTTTGTACCCTGTAAGAACCTGAAGACCTTTTCATGCTGCCTTTGGATTATTTTCCCTAAATTTATTCTCTATTTTACATTTCTTTTTAAAATTATACTTGTTTATACTTATCAATCAGCTGAGATCTATTAATCAATCTGCCAAGTGTTTCTAGAGCTCCTCATCGGAGCTTAAAATAAGCACATAAATAGGAAAATCCAACTAGCAATAGGTTATTAGAGTTCGAACTTCAATGCATTAGATTCTCAAAAATCAGAGCAATGAATTAGCAAAATATCCATACCCAATTATAGACCACTTGAATCTGAAAAGAGGTGAAATTTTTTAATTTCTAGTTCAAATTTTCTATGTGTTACAAGATTTGCGTGGATTTTTTTAATTGGAAAGGAATTTCACAATGAATTTGCCTTATTTGCATTTCCAGAAACTAAATGCTTTTTTGGGGGTTTTTTTTTCCATATTTAGGGTGACCCTTCCAGGGTATCATAGGAGGTTGGCTGATATTCAGGGGCCCTCTTAAATATATAAAATAATGTGATGCTTTTAACAGCGAAGGCTCTTTATGTGGCTTAGGGAGTGGAGTTGATTTCGTCATGAGGAAAAGTCCTACTGTCACAGGAATTGAACCCAGGGCCCTGGGCTTAGCAGGCAAGCATCTTAACCACTAAGCTAGACAATGCCACTCCAAAATGTTTTTGTTCTGTGCTGGGATTTAATACAGTCCATATTGCTAACAAATCAACATGTCTATCTTTTATTTTACATATAATAATAATTGATATAGTGCTTATCTATAATACCTTATTTATTCAAATAAATGTCAAAGGGCATTTATTCTTGAGAAGGGTTTTGAAGAGTTGATTATTTGAGGAAGGGGTTTATTTTTTGGTGTAAAATGGATATGTATGTACTCAAATAAACGACACTTAATTTCGATAAATGTGGAACCGCAACAAAAAATTACCATCAAAATGTGTTAGAAAAGGTTGTAATTTTACTGGAGTAGAACATTATAGGGTATGTAGGATTAGCACGCTTCACTTACTGAGGATTCTTATTTCATGTTTTGGTTTTTTGTATACTGCGCATTGGTAATTGGTCCTATGTTTTGACAGATGACTAGTGGCTGATAGCACCTTGTCCGATAATGGGCTTTGTTTGGAATTTTAACCTAGTTTCTACAGCATCGTTCTGCAACCTTTGGTACACAACCCAATGTTAAGGTTGTGGAAAAATTTGATAACCTCTTCATATCGTGAAAACTTTACTTATTATGAACAATGACAAACAAAATCAAATTTAAAACGAAAGTGTGGCATGTGCGTCAGTTTATTTTTGTAATACGTGTGTTATCAAAGTTTTGATATTTAAAAAAATACACATCAAAACATTTGTTCTTCAGGTATGACAACCTGAAAGTGTTAATTTTGTTCATTTCAATGTGTATGACTCACCTAAAAATCATAACGAGAAAACATTTTTCTCTTCAATTAAATATGTCTGTGTATGCGCATAACCCATTAATCACCGTTCTACAATCTATGGGTCGCGACCAATGTTTGAGTAGCGGAAAAATTAGATAGGTCTTTAGATCGTGAACAAATTACTTAACGTATTGTGAATGAGGACAAACAAAATTAAATATTAAACGAAAGTGCAATTAAAGTGTGGTACATGTACGTCAGTTTATTTTGCAATGCCTTTGTTATCAGAGTTTCATGTAAAAAAAAATATACTATGGAAACATTTGTAGGCATACTTTAGCTATGACAACCTGAAAGTATTAGTTTTGTTCATTTCAACTGTGTTTGTCTCTGAAAATGTTTCAAAATGTGTCTATGTCTTTACATAACCCATAGATTTCTGGCAGCAAATCTAGGATTTTATATATAGTAAAATGTCTGTAAATCATTAATTTTTTTACAAACCCTTATGTGTATGAAAATTTGGTAACTTACCTGGTTTTGTTAAATTAGTAATTCAAAGTTATAATTTAATTTTTATGGGTATTAAATTGATTTGTGGGTGATAGTATCTTTTGCCAATAGAATCAAGTGGGTTAGTATCTTCTAATACCAGATATCCCTCACTCAAAAAAAAACGACGGACGTTATTTATTGACTTCGCGTTCTATGGGTTGCGTCTGCGTGCTTGACATAATTTGGGTCGTGGGCTGAAAAGGTTGCGGAACAGGGATTTTTGTACAGTATACTCTTGCTGCTGTCAGGAGCCTATTGCTAATTTAAGACCAATTACAATTAACTTAAGCAAAGTACACAATTTATTGACATACAATAAGGCCTAAAAAAATAAATTGTTTGTTTGCCCTTCAGGGCAGGTGGAATATTTTTTTTTTTAGGGCATCTGGCAAAAAATAAAGATAAATTCACTCACATTTTTTTTTAATTCGTAAAGAAAAAAGGAAAAAAAAAAAACCTTTTTTTTGTTTTTCCGCTCCTATTTTTTTCAGTAAGTTAGGGGTGGGTGACGGAGGGTAAACAAACATTTTTTTTCTTTTTTTGATCTAATCATTAGCTCAACTACACAGATAGAATATAGAAATTCATATTCTTTGCCTTTTGAAATTATAATCATATATTTGATCTTTTTTTAATGATCATTTATTAGGATCTAGAAGGTCTTGAAAAAGATGTTCTGGAAAAGGAACAAAAATTTAAGGATTTAACGGCACTCGGTACACTGAATGAGAAGAAGGAACAGCTAATTAAAATGTCCGCATGGGCCCAGGTAGCCGTCATTGAACGAGAAATTGAACCAATTAACAGGAACATGAAGAAAGAAGACAACCGCACTCCAAAGTTTGATCAGAAAATTGAGGAGTCGAATATGAAGCAGAGCCATGTAGCTGAAGAATATCAAGATATCAACAACTCGTTAGAGGAGCTATTACAGAACGCGAATCACTTGAAACCAGATGTTGATGTTGCTAAGCGAGAATGTGATAAAGAAAAAGCAAGATTGAAAGAAAGTCAGAAGAATTTAAAAGAGATTAGAAGCAGCTTAAGAACACTTAGGGATGAAAAGAAGGAATTAGAGGATGAGATTTCTAATTTAAAAAACAGGTAAGGTTGAACTATAGGCATGTTGTTAGTTTTTGGACTATCTTCAGTTTTATCCACTGTGCAAGTCAGATGTAATTTTCATATATGAGGCAAGTTGTAGCAAAAATTTAAGTTACCGGTCTTTCTCCAAAAAAAAAAAAAGAAAAAGATCATTTTCAGGACCAGGGTTTTAGTTGTCTTTAAAGGCTTTGGTCTCTAATTAGAATCTCTCTGATTAAAGACTGGCATTAAAAGTGCTCTTTCTATCTCTGAGGAAAATTAAGAAATGATATACTGTAGTAATAAGATTTTCATTCCAAGTATTTTAATTTGAATAGATGTAATATGCTGTTATTGGTTTTAATATACTATTTCCCGGTAGTCACACATCACGTCCAAAAGGTCTGTTTATTTGAGATTTCTAACATGTAAATGTATTTTGCTGTTCATGGAGATTGTGATTGGCATTAACCACTGAAAGACAATTGATAAAACAGTATTAAAAACTTGTAAAAGCATGCAAATATCACAAATTTGCGCTAGATGGTTTATTTTGGGAGATTCTTGCTTGCTCGCGTAAGGTGGTCTCAAATGGGAGGGCGAACTGTATCATAAAATATAAGTACACAGTATTCAAAAACATAATCCAAATCTTGTTTAATGCAAAAGTATGGAGGGCGTCCAGAATTAAAATGGCAGAACAACCATTTTTCAGTATATTTTTTAAAGACATTTGGGCAGAAACTTAACTAATATATGAAAATTGTTAAAATAGAACTAAAGAGGTGGGGTAAAATTACACACAGATGCAAGATGCAATTTTATATCAAAGGGGTTTTTTTTATATCAGTGCAACCTTGCTACTTACAGGATGAGAATGATGCTTTATAAACTAAGTCTCTTTATGAAGCTTTAGGGGGTGGAGTTGGTTTTGGTCGTGAGAAAATGTCCTGCTGTGAAAGGAATTGAACCCAGGACCCTGGGATCAGAAGGCAAGCATCTTAACCTCTGAGCTATTCAACTCCACTTCAATGGAGTTAATGAATGCAATGCAAAGAGTATAGTTCACTATCCAATCCGAGACCACCATTGAGACCTGAAAATTTGAGGTGGTCTCAGGGTTCGTTTTCAACATAGAGGATTAGTTTAGTGCATAATAGATGGAAAATTGTTGTTTAGTTCTTTGAAAAAGTGTTCTTGGATTAGAGGGTCTCATAATTAAATGGAATTAGATTAGATTCGATTAGATCTGGAATTGGAGGGTGCATTGTATCCAACATTAATGACTAGTGATGACTGTAGTTTTAAAGTGTGATTCGATATTTGCATCAGTGCTCATCAAGACTACGAAGAGGAGCGATTGCTGCGAGAGGCTTCAATCAACGAAAAGAAAAACGAGAAAGAGTCTTTTGAAAAGAATCTGAATGACAAGGAGCATGAGCTGCAACAGTTCACCAGCGCTGTGAAACGAGACCGGGCTAAGATGGGACAAATTAAGTAAGTGAAAACAGTACAACATACACTGTTGAGTTTTTATCCTTTTTTTTTTTTTTTATTATTTTGATTTATGTCACAATGTATGGTTAATAAAAATCAATCATTAAATTATTAAAAGGCATACAGTATATAATTTTAATTTTATTTTGTTATTCCAAAGTTACACTAAAGCGGAAACCTATTATTTTAATCATTACTTTTTAATTAATGAATTATTATTTCATTCTTATAATGAATGCTATAAAAAAAAAACAGGTCTTTAATGGAGTGGGTAGTCTAATTGTAAACCTAGAGCTTAAAACTTGCAAACACACTTTGATACTTCTAAAAAGAATGTAAAAAAATTACCACCGGGCACTGAGAGACTGAAAATGAATCCGGGATTGGAAGAAGAGTGACGACATGAATGGTGTGAATTTCAAATCAAACAGTGTAGGAAGTGAAAAAAAGAATAAAGAAAAATACTGAGAAATTGAGAAAATAATCTAAGTAAAAGCGTATAATACTTTATTAATTGGCAAGTAAAATGTAAAGTTTTCAAGACCATATATCCAGTAGGTAGGGTGTTGCGAAGGGTGTATACACACCCAACCAAACTGAATATAAATTTGTGATTTTTTGTGATTTAAAAATATAATCTTTAAATTTTTACATTAAAACCAGTAATCTACTCAGTCTGTTGTGATTTGGAAAAACACAGTTAATCAGTATTTTGAGGTTTTGGATGTATTGTCATGAGAAGTGATCATGTACTCCAAATGATTTTTAGAAATATGAAATTATTATTATGCATATTTAATTACTTTCCCAGCTGATGGTGGTCCAATAATACTAAGTTTGGTTATGGTCAGAGTAGAATTTTTGAAAGAATTGCATTATTATTTTTCCTTTAAGAAGTCAAAATTGTGGTCATAAGATGAATTTTAGAACCATATTATTAACTAAGATTATTAGGTTAAACTTCCCACATCGGCACGTGCACTTAAAACATTTTTTTTTTGAAAATGGATCTAAATTGGATTCATGTGTGATATTGATAAACAATCAGAATTCTCTGAACGATGCTATTAAACATTTGATGAATGGACTTCCTTATGTTATGGTCATATTAGACTGTAATATTATTAAAGAAAATTCATTCCACCAAAAACAAAATTCCCACTTTGGTGTATGCTTAAAACGTAATTTCCTAAAATTTGGATATATGAAATTGTCAGTCAATAAAAATTTTCTGTACCCATGCTAAACTTTTGAAGAGTAGACTTACGATTTATGCCTAAGGAAATATAAATTGTAAGGGGTCTAAACTTTGAATGTGACAAAGTGTTCTTCCTTATCTTGTGGTCATATTAGAATGCAATATCATTAAACAAACAACATGAAACATGTCCAGATTTTAGGTTAAACTTCCGACTACCGTGTATGCAATAATGTAAATTTTGGATATATATTTTCATCACAGTCAAGAATTACTGATCATATCAATTTTAGAAAATTACTGTTTTCCGATTGTGTGCATTGAAAATGTGACGATGAACTTGGGGTACAGGCCTTGGTTGACATTTCATATCAAAAGGTCGGTTAATTAATCTTGCACAGGAGCCAATCATCACCTAGCTGTGGTGCCTCTTCCTCCTTCTCATCATCATAATTATTAATTGTCCGTAGTAAAGTGGAGAAAAACTATGATTTCAGAGTGTATTCATTCAATAATAGATGTCGAAAGTGCATTCTTTCTAAGCATCTATAAAACAGAACTTTCCAAAGGTGGACCCCAAGATTCCACATCTAAAATTTGTCTTCCAGCAAACATTACGTTCTCTTCTCTTTGCCCTGCCCACTCTGGGACCCCATCTGTGCGACATTCAGGCTAAAATCTGGATCCGCGCCTGAGAGGTCCATTATTCTCACAATTTTTTGCTTTCAGCTCATGGTGGGACTGAGGTGGTGTGGACTTCCATGCACCCGCCAAATCCTGCATCTGCCCCAGCATTGATGGGGTGCTTGGTCCTAATTTTAATCAAATTTCCCTGGCCAGTACCTGTTTCTTGTAACGTAATAACAAAAAAAAACAGTAAATGCAAGTCTCCCTCCAATTAATGACCAATTTTGGAACAGGGGTTTCCATGGTCTTTGGCAGCTTTTGTCTCTAATTTGAATAATAAAGATATTTGGTAATATGGGACCACAGAAAATGGATCTTTAATTGTATGGGTCTTTAATCAGAGGGAAACTTTTTGTTTATTTTTTTTTTAACAGACAGCAGCAGGAAGAATTTTCCAGGCAGCTGCATGATCAGAATACTCAATTGAATCGACTCAAGTCAAGTCAGGCTAATCGCTTGAAGATCTATGGTGATTTTACACCAAGGCTACTGGAAGAGATCGCCAAAGCAACTAGGAACAAGCTCTTTCATAGGCAGCCTAAAGGACCAATCGGTATAATTGTTAGAAAATATGCTGATGGCAAAGATGATAATCATGATGTCCTCCCCTCTCCATATTTTGTAATCTTCTTGAACTTCAACCTCACTTTATTTCACTTGGCGCAAACATCATACATACAATTAAACAGCATGGGGGAAAACCAAGTGGCGAGGCCAAAAGAAAGTAAATAAACTTCGTAAGCGTTGGTCCTGTGTGAAAAAAACCCCACCAATAACCACAAAATACCATTAAAAATCACTACATTCAAAAGCATCTAAGTGAACTAAAGAAAATAAATTTGACAGGAGATCTTAAATGAATATGGAGAGTTACATAGTGATGTAATACATACAGTTTGATGTTGCAGAGTGTTTTTAATGTTGAATATATCTAGACGATGTTGGTGGAGACAGTGAGGATGATTATGATGATAGAAAAAAGGATGATGATAATGTTTATATCAGTAATAATGATAACAGTTATGATAATGATAATCCTGATAATATAATTTTAATAATAATCCTGATAATGTATATTTAATGATGAAAATGATAGATAAATGAATACGAAAATGATAATGATGGTGATAATAGCAATAATAATGGTGTCTATTATGATAAGGATAATACTGATGATAATATAATTTTATTGATGAGGATGAAAAAGAGGTTGATTATGATGGCTTTTTTGTTTCCCATCAATTTATACTGTTTCATGATTTACATCTACTATATATAGGATCCTTGATTTCATTGGTGGAAGATAAGTGGGCCCTTGCCATTGAGTGTTGTTTAAAAAGCCTGGTGTATGCTTACATTTGCCATGATTACCATGATGAGAAGACACTGAAACAGATAATGAAGAGAGTCATCCCTCACAGCTTCAAGCCAGTTGTTATTGTGTCTTCATTTGAGGTAAGAAACATACCTCGATGAAATATTTTGTGCTGCCAACAACCATAAGAATTATCTTTCTAGTAAAAAATAAAGACAGGAGTTTACTGAAAAATTATTATTTTTATTATTATTATTATTTGAGATTTATGAAAGAGAAGATAGCTATCAAACATGTAGATGGGAATGCATATGATATAAAAAAAAACATTTCATTGGAGTTGCCAGGTTATAAAAGAGCCCAGTTTGAAGAGTAAAGTTTGCGCCCTTGACACTTATAGATCGGTCAACCGGCCTGTGATAGCGCATAGTGCCAAAAATCTCTTTTAAATCAGTATACCTCCCCAAATTTTGATTAAGTACCATAGCTCTTAAAGGTTAAAAAGAATGAAATCTACCACATTTATTCTTTGGTAAGAGGACTAGCCCAAATATGTGCTGGTTTATAGAAAATATATTAATTTATTATGACCATGTCAGAACCAAAGAATTTATGTTTTTGATGACATTAATTAGAAATTTATCTTTGTTTCTCAGGATAAGAAGTATTCGGATTTGACGCAAGTTAGGTCTGAGTTTCCATGTCTTCTAGATCAGATATCAGTTGAAGACCCTGATGTTTTCAACTGCCTTATTGACCAAGTAAGAACAAGTAAAGTGTCTAAAGGTCTGTTTACACTATTCAATTTTTTGTGGCAAATATCAGTGCTTTGCCCATATATGGCATCATTACATCATTTTACACCCATAGATGGGAAATTGAAGGTGTTTGTCACATTAAACGTTAGTGTGGACAGAGTTTTACAACGTTTTAATATTGACTTTATAACAATATATTAAATATTTAATATTATTTGTATAGAGCACTTCCAAATGAAACAAAAACTTTAAAGAAATGACCTTAGTTTCATTCCAACATTCTATTAATTTTTTAATCAATTAAAATTTACAAAGAAAAAGTAAGATAAAACAACTTAATTACGTTAGAAATTGGGATCAATGGTGTGTCATTGAAGAAAATGGCGTCTGGTTGAACGTTTTTTGCAACGATGGCAACGGAGTAGTATCACATGGTATCATGACGTAACACTGTAGTACTCTATATTTTATAAGCCTTTAAATGCATTATATTCAATATACTTGTCTTGTCAACCAATGAATATAAATACCATTCTTGCTGCGTGTTCGTAGAATTTTCTGGTTTTTATTGAATTTTTGTTGTTGTAGTTTATGTGACATGTTCCCATAAAATCCAGACAGTCACAATCTTATAAAACTTTTTTAAATAATTATGTTATATAATTAATTAACATTACAGTCACTTTTAACTAAATATGGTTATTAATTTTCATATGGGCAACCAATTAAAATAATTTCAAAGTTTAGTGTGCATGCCAAGGATAGGCATGACTACACACAATGTGAACAAGAAGGTTGCAAAATGTGTCTAGCAGTCAGTGTAAACATTATGCATGTTTTGTTAAAAATGAAATTCGGTGTTGTTTTTCAGCGAGGAATTGAATTTGTAATCTTGGTAGAGGAGGGAAGACAGGCGAGAGATTACATGTTCCGATCTCCTCCTCAAAACTGTAAAGAGTGTTTTACCTTGGAAGGAGATCAGATTTATCCGGGTAAAAACCAGAGATCTTACGCCTCCACCCAAACAAAGGCACAAGTTCTTAAAGCTAGTTTGGATGATGAAGTTGGGTGAGTAAATTATGACGTTAGGAAGCAGTCATTTGATTCAACGCCATATGTTGGCCGCCTAAATGTGTTTTCCAAGAAGTCATATATCAGGTGATGACCATTAGCATAGTGTGTGCCCAACTTAAATGGTGAAATAGAGATACAGTTCAATATGAAACAAGTCCAATTACTATGAAAGAAAACCATTTAAAATGTGCACTTTCAAAGATACATCAAACCATGCTGTTGGTAAACAGTATTCTGTATTGATAAAGGCAGAATGATTTTATATCATGCCCATATATGGGCACATCGCAGGTTTGTCAAAGAAAATATGACAGTGTGGACATACTCTTGAATTGATGGATTTATTCAGTGTAAACACCAAAGATAACCTACAAAATAGTATCATCCCACAATGGGGAGATTCGTTTGACCTTGTCAGTAAAACATACAAGCAATAAAGATATACAAATAAATGAACAGTCTTCCTCAGTTAAAAATGTTTAAAAATGCAAGTTAAATAAAATTCTAGTGGTGATTAGGCAGTACACCAGGCCCTACTGTTTTCCGAAGAGTACTGCGTTCTTTAACGTGCACATGGGCCATAATGCACACAGGACCAAGGGCTTAAACGTTTCATCCGAAAGACAGTGCGCAATTGTAACTTGCATTTCAGCCTTGCAGCTGAAATACAAGGAGAGCAGCGATGAAAATTGAACCGGGGACCAAGAGATTTCCACAGTTTAGCGCACATACAGTGGCTACCATCAGTTTAGCAGGCTGAGCTAAGCTGCTCTCATTACTGAGCTAAGCTGCTCTCACTTAGATTATTAGATTTATATGAGTCCTTTGAATGAATAAATTTGATAAGGTGTACCAATTTCAATGCAAATGGTTTATTTCTAATGCAGAGAAACACTGAATGACATTGAAATGACAAAGCAAAACGTGAGTCGAATTCAAGAGGAGGTGAAACAGGTTTCCAATAGTATGAGGCAAAATCAAACTCAGGAGAGAAATCTGTTGGTACATAGGAAGAAGATTCAAGACAAGATCAGTCAACTGACACTGGTAAGTCGAAGTATATTGTTGGATCTCTCAAGAAAGCTCAAGGTCTTTGATTTTCTACATAACTTGAACACCCTTTGAAAGTTAATGGAATCGCCCTATATGCTATGTTTGAGTGTTTCATATGTTTTGCAACAAAATCGACGCTATGTAGGCCTGACATCATGACAATTGTGGCGCTGTGGTCAATACACCTAATTTATTTGTTCTTTATAGCCAGGCTCCAGAGGATATATGTACACAGGGTTCGTACACGTCCTTAAATTACTTGAATGTCCTTAAATTACTTGAATGTCCTGGACAAACAAATGAGCATTTTCCAGTATTAGAAAGTCCCGGTAATTTATGATTGTCCTAAATGTCCTGGAAATTTGATCATTTACCATTTATCCAGTACTGCAGGTTGCCTAGTAACATTAAATTAAATGAGAAACATTCCCACAAGTAGGTTCCCACGATTCTCATGGGAGAAGCAGGTCAAGTCTTTGTACACTGCCAATTCAGGAATGTTATCGAAGGCAGAAAGAATGTCAAATGTTTAAAGTGGCCGACTGGCTGGCAGTGATTCAGACAAACTTGTGCGATCCAGTGAATGGAGTTCGCCTATATGTTAATAATACGGTGGTTTCTTAATCTTGCATATTAATTATGATTGCATGTACTGTAATTTTTTATTTCAGACATCTGTAATCATAATCATTAACTTTGTTGATATCTGCTATGGTGTTTTTTGAACTTAATATACACTCAACTAACATGCACATAAATTTGTACAGCATACATGTTTTATGATCGATAGTAAAATCGCCGATATTTTACTGTTAAGTGATATAATGTGTCCTTGAAATTTGGAAAATTTGATCTGGAATTGTCCTGTAAATTTGCTTGTTTAAATATGTACGAACCCTGTGTACAAATGATTTTTCTAAGACACAAAAAGGGTGTTTGATAAAAAATCAGTGAACAGTTAATGAAATACAGATTTTTGAATATTTAAAAACTGGAAAAGGTGAAAAAGGGGTGGTTATGCCCCATTTTCCACAGTTTTTAAATGTGCACCAAACCCCCATGAAACAGAAAAAATACAAAATGGCATACAAATACTAAAGGTTACAATATTTCATAACATATTAAACATTGGATTTGGATACTTATTTATCAGTATAATTATGTTACATAGGCCCCTATATGAAATTGGTGCCCCTCATAAAAATTCTGGATCTGCCCCAGCCTGAGTACTTGGTTGATATAAATACCTTTGTTTACTGTACATTGATAAATTACTACATTAATATCATGTTGTCAGCGGAAAGACATTACTAAGGCATATTGAACTCATTTCAGGAAATTAATGAGCTGCTGGCTACGGAAGAACCTGCTAATGTAGACGTCAGCACCTTAGAAGGAGAGGTTGAGAAATATCAGATTGAAATCATGGGCCTATCGGTGTCGGGCTTCCGGGTCCTCAGTGCTTTCTCGACATTTTATTGAGCTCAGCTGTTGTGGCTACGTTAGGGTAGAGCATATCTGCTGATATTGTTTGCTAGTATTTTGATAGGCCTAGTCCGTTCACTTTCCTAGAAAAACTAACACAATAAACATAATCATAATCATGCAGTGCCAATAATCACAAACTTACACACTGTATAGGCCCTGTCTCTTATACACATCTAGATGTGTATAAGAGACAGACTCAGCTTCGTGTAGAAAATTCGACCAGACGAAGTTTTTCCATGGTTTGCCCCACGAAGCTAAGGAGGAAAGCAATAATTTTGAGCACCATCGGTAGTTGTTCATCTCACTCAGTTCACGTGGTTTTAGATTATAACAACC